CTCCCTCCCTACCTCCCTCCCCAAGATGGCACGCAATCTGATGTAGGCTATACATATACATTCCTATTAAACATATTTTCACATTAGTGATGTAAGTAAGAATTAGAACCAATAGGAGGAACCCTTAGAAAGAGGAAACAAAACACAAAAAGAAGAAAAAAAATAGCAAACAGTATGCTTCGATCTGCATTCAAACTCCAGAGTTCTTTCTTTGGATGTGGATAGAATTTTCTATTATGATGCCTTTGGAGATGTCTTCGATCCTTGTATTGCTGAGAAGGGTTAAGTCTGTTACTGTGTACAACATTGTCCTGGTTCTGCTCACTTCACTCAGCATCAGACCATACAAGTCTTTCCAGGTTTTTCTGAAGTCTGCCTGTTCATCATTTCTTATAACACAATAGTATTCCACTATACTCATATACCACAACTTGCTCAGCCATTCCCCAGTTGATGGGCATCCTCTCAATTTCCAATTCTTTGCCACCACTAAAAGAGCTGCTATAAATGTTTTTGTACATGTGGGTCCTTTTCCCATTTGTATGATCTATTTGGGATATAGCCCTAGAAAGGCTGTTGCTAGGTCAACATTTGGGGTTTTCTTGGCAAAGATACTAGAGAGGTTTGCCATTACCTTCTCCAACTCATTTGACAAGTGAGGAAACTGAGACAAGCAGAGTTAAGTGACTTACCCAGGGTCACACAGCTAGGAAGTGTCTGAAGCCATATTTGAGCTCAGGAAGACAGAGTCTTTCTGACTCCAGGCCTGGCTCTCTATCCACTGTGCCACTTAGCTGGCCTGCTTTACCTTACTTTCTCCTTTTCCTCCTACTTGAGTCCTTCTCTTCAGGTCTTTTCTCCCCATCCTTTTTCTCTTTCAGATCCAGCAATCAATCAACAAACATTTATTAAGTACTTGCTGAGTTCTGGCCAGTTCTCTTCCAAATCAAGTTGTTCTCTTTTTCCTTACATTCTCTGAAGTTTCCTCAAACATATCCTCCTCCAATTCAATCTCTGGCTATCCTCACACATTCAAAGCCCCTTTGAATCACTAACAATTTCTTTTACATCTCAAATCTTTGTCTGTTCTCTTGCTAGACACTAGAAGTAGCAAATGAAGGGGAAACCACTATCTCCTAAGGTACCCTGTTCCACTTTGAGGAAACTGTTTGTGTAGCAGGTATGCCCATGCATATATCTTTGGAAAGTGTTCATTGGTCTCTATGATTTTGGGCACTGATGATTCCTCTTTAAAAAAAATAAGAAGTCCTCATTGTCTCATTGATTGATGTTTTTGTTGGTTACTAGAACAGGGGTGGGGAACTGTTTTCTCCTTAAAAGGGTGTGAATTCCTTTCCTTCTCTTTTATCCTGGGTACAAAGTGATGATTATTGATGAATGATCACTGATTCACAGCCAGTTCATTTCATTTGAGCTACGTTCTTGAGTTTAGCCTTTCAAAAAGGCTATACTTGAACACCAAAAGATGAGAGAGAGAGAGGAAGAGAAATCAAGAGAAGAGAGGGGCTACACATGATATTCAGACTCGTTTCCTTAAAGGAAGATTGGAACATCTCCCCAGAGCCTCCAGAGAAACCTGAGACCCCAGAGGTGTCAGTGAATAGAGGAAGAGGTGAGAAATTCCTGGGCCAGTTCAGGAGCTACTGGATTTTGAGCCAGAAAGAGTGGAGTGCCAATGGCAGACCTCCTTGACTAATAGAGGAGTTCTGGGGTTCATTATAAGTCCACATGGAGGTGTTCTTGGACCAGGAAGAGCCAGAGTCAAATCTGGCAAACAGCAAGGGCTTAAGCCATGATGTAGAGAAGAAAAGCAGGACCTTGGCTTTCACTAGTACTATGAGTTATGTATTATATATATTTGGGAGTAGAAAGTTGACTATTGATTCTGAGTACTGGTTCATTCAGTGTGGTAGTATAATAATAACTGTAATTATAATAACATTTATATAGCACTTTAAGACTTGCAAAGTGATTTGCAAATATTACCTCATTTTATCATCAAAACAACCCCAGGATATAGAAGCTATTATTATTCCTATTTCATAGATGAGGAAACTGAGGCAGATAGAGGTTAAGTGACTTGCCTAAAGTCACAGTTAATTACTGTCTGAGGCTGGGTTTATACTCAAATCTTTATGACTCTAGGAGAGAGTCTATCTACTTCATCATATAGCTGCCCCACTAGTACACGCTGGAGAATTATATAGGTCCTAGAAGATATGGGACTAACCAGAGGGAGGATTACTTGATATTCTAGCAGTCTTGAATGCTTTTCCTTTTTGGAGGCCCACCTAAGGTAGTACTAGAAGTTTAGAATATCTTTGGGAAATGCAGAGGCTTACCAGAAAGGGAAAAGTATTATACTGATAATTTATGAGGTCAGATACAAGTCTTTTAATGCTTTTTTAAAAATCAGGTTATGAAAATCCTATCCTATATTCAATATTCTGTTAATTGGAATGCTTTCATGGGAACCAAAGGCCCCTTTGCTTTTTGGGGGGAGAGCTAGACACAAGTCAAATTTTGACATTTCCTAGGAAAAAGCTTGGGCACAAGCCAAACATATAACTCTTGAGAAAGTCCCCAAAATAAACCTGGTTCATGTAAATCCTGAGCTTCAGTTCTGGGCTACTGGTTACATTGCATAGTTTTTCCTTATCAATAGAAGATTCTACATTCAGTATATCCTTGGCCTTGCCAGTTTTTTTTTTTTTGCTTCAAATTTGAAGACACTTTTGGCTCTTCCCATGAATTCTGTAACCAGTTTAGGGTGAATGGTCTTGATCATTTTATAAATGAAGAAGCAAGGTTATACACAGTGTGTGTTTGTATGAGATACAAAACATAAGACTTTGGATTAGAGGCTCTGGAATAGCTACTGTAGGGGAATTTACAGTAGCTGTGGCAAGAGCCCTCTTGAAGTTGAATAACAAGAATTTATGAATTTGAGAACCAGGTATGTCTGGTCCTTGAAGTCTGATTGAACCTGCTCTTCTGCCTTCTTCTAAGGGCATAGTAATGGTGTTTGCAAATTCATATATCACTCATGCCTATCAGGGATATTCTAAGAATTGAGAACATGGCAGCATGAACAAAACTTGAGAGGAGTGTGTTTGGATGGTATGTGGGTTTTATGCTTTCCTTAGCAGTCATAATAAATGTGGCTTTAGATTTTTAGTTACTGACTGTTATATTCAAATACTCAACCAGATAAATGACCTCATTGATTTGTATATTCCCTCCAATTATGCAGATCTCAACTCATCCATGCCTGCTGACTCTGTGAGTTTCTTGGCAAGCTAACAGTGATATCCAACCAGAAATCCTTGGATCTTGTGGATTTATAATTTGCAGTTTCAAAAATTCATGGTTCAGCCTGTCCAATTCTTCCTAGGTGGTACTACCCCCTGTTTCCCAAAAACTACCCTATCCTCATCTAAGCTTCTGCTACACTTGGCTACAGATACCCCTAGTCAAGGCATATTCTCTTCATGAAACAGGAAATTAGCAGCTCTCTTTGAATGGAGACAATTGGAAGTACAGGCATTGTTATAAAAGGCTGGAGGAGGGCTGGTTTTGGGCTCAAGAGTTCTGATTTCAAATCCTAGATGCCTTACTTACTTGCTGTATGACCCCAGATGAGTCACCAAATGTCAGTTAAGCTAAGCCACTTTTCATCCAGTTCTCTCATGAATAAAAAGGAAATAATAACACTTATTCTGCTTACCTTGAAGAGTCATTGGGAGGAAAGTACTTTGGAGTACTCTAAGTGCCATAGATATGAATTATTATTACTCAGGAGAGAAACGTAGGCAGCTGTTTGAGGCATTTTGTGTTGGAAAAAATTTTTCTTTTGTGTATAAGTCATCATTATTGGTACATTATAGTATGCATGTAGTTCTCTGGGCTCTCCAGAATTTATCCCCTGAAAATAAGAAGAGTAAAACAGTGTCTAACAAGCATATATCACTGCAGCTTGAAAACTGATTGTGTTTATTTAAAAAGGGTACTCTATTTCCCAATAATTTTGAATAAAAATGAATTCATGAAAATTCTTTTTGAAAGAAAATAGGATCTTACTATTTTTGTGCTCAGAGAAAATTATATATTAAAGTAAGTCGATATAAAAAGTTGGATATGAACTTGAAGATAATCCTGATAGGGTGCTTGGGTGCTTGCACTTGGACTCCACTTCCAAGATCATATTTCTCCCTAGCCTCAAAACACTGCCCCTGACAGTTTTCTCCCCAGCCCAAGGACACTATGCCTAGCGATAACTCATGAGTGGGCCCAGTGAGGCAAACTAACTCTCCCTGTTACAAGAACAAGCTGTAGGATTTCGCTTATATGAACAGGACTATCTTGTACCAGCAGAACTATCATGTACTGATTCCCACAGTTACTGTGAAAAGTCCAGAGGTCAGTCTAAGATATCAACACCCAAACCTATCTTGTTGCAGACATAACAGACCAAAAACACACCCCTTATGGAACCCTACCTCTCTCCTGTTTCCAGTAGTGAATGACGCCCGTGCTCAAGGTTGTATGTTACCACGTAATTAGCATACTTGCCACATAATTCACTACTTTTCCTATATAAGCTTTAGCATCATTCCTGTTAGGTGGCAAGTTCCCTAGGGAGCTTTGCCCATCATATTATCATTGCAATAAACTTTTTGCCACCTGACTGGAAGATTGCTTGAGTCTATGAATTCTTTCCAGACAACTCTGCCCTGTCTTTTAAGGTCTCTATACCCCTAAACCCTAGCAGTGCCATGAAAGCTACTTCCACAAGTTCAAAGAGGACTTTACATGAGAAGGTTATTTTACCATAAATTACTGATTTATTTTAAAATTAATTATTAATTCAATCACTGGAACCACCACAAGATAAATGAATTTATTTGGATGTTGTTGTGTTTGTTTCTCTCATTGCTACAATTGATTCTTTTCTTTCTTTCTTTCTTTTTTGAAAACAGATTCCAGAACTTGCTTTGGTCTCGAAAGACATTTGTTGATGACATGAAAGTGTATAACCACAGCTACATTTACATGCCTGCTTTTTCTATGAAAACAGGGACAGAGCCATCTCTCCGGGTTTATTATACATTGGCAGATGTGGGTGCCAACCAAACAGTGCTTTTTGCCAATCCCAACTTTCTTCGTAGCATTGGCAAATTCTGGAAAAGTAGAGGAATTCATGCTAAGCGCTTATCTACAGGTCTTTTTCTTGTCAGTGCTGCCCTGGGCTTGTGTGACAAAGTGACCATCTATGGCTTCTGGCCTTTCTCAATGGATCTGCGTGAGCACTCTATTAGTCATCACTACTATGACAATGAGCTCCCTTATTCAGGCTTCCATGCTATGCCAGAGGAATTCCTTCAGCTTTGGTATCTTCATAAAATTGGAGTGTTAAAAATGCAGCTAGAACCATGTGAAGACCTCTCATTCCAACCCACTTCCTAAGGACTAAGGCAAAGGAAGTGAATGGGCTAATGCAATGTTTTTAGGGTTTGTGTGTGAATATGTAGAAGGGAAAACACTCAGACTTATTTATGGATTTGCATAGATCACTTAAGAAAAAAGAAACAAAATGCTACGGTTTAAGCATTGTCTTGGAGGCTTACCAGGAGATCATTCCTTCTGCAAAATATTTTGTAGTTTGCTATGGATTTTTGGCCAGTAAAACTCTGGAAGTAGGTTCTTGGGAAAGAAACAAAGCAGCACTTGGCATAGTTCAAGTTCAGATGGTGCCATTCAATGAAGACCATGTTGATTTAGGATGAGGAACAATAAAGGAAATTTGGGAAATGGGAAGAGGAAATTTTAGTGGTGATTGGCCAGTAACGCTGACTATATAGAAATCCATGTGACTTAAAACTGGTATTTGGAATGGTAGTTTTTACAAGGATTATCTGGGGTTTTTTCTTTTTGGCCTTTGGGTTATATGGGGTGGGTGGGTGGGGAGAAGAAGTTGTGTGTGAGTAAAATAATACTGTATTCCGTAATAACAATCCAAAATGCCATAGCTTACTGTTGTGATTTTTTTTAAAAATGCTATGTCTGTAATCACTTTTTTTCCCCTCAAATTATGGGTTACCCTTTTTTGCCAAGTACTTAGATGATGTGAAACCCTGGTAAATTGGAACTGTATAGGAAACCAGTCTGGATATCTAGATTCCATTTCTTTCTCTTTTCAGCTTCTCCCTCAGTTATCTGAATAATTCAGGTAATAGCTGCATCTTTTAAATGATATAATTGAGTCCATGTCGATTTGTCCTTGTTTTGTTATTATAAAGAGACCACATATATAAATGTAGTATTTTCCACATTTATTATAATCTTCAGAATTTGGTGTTCAGATATGTATGAAAATGGGATCATAACAGTATTTAAGTTTAATATTTCCCTAGGAATATACCCTATAAAGCAAGGTAAAATAGTCATCTTCTTCCTATACATACAAACATACACATCCCTTCATACACAAATTGCCAGTTTGTTAGGGTCAAAATTTATAACCAGTGATGGATTTCAACAAAATCCACAACATGCTAGCTTACCACACTCTACTTCTTAAATAATCATAGCTTACTGGCTGTTCTCCACTTTGCAAATACAGTTACCCCTTCTCCATCGTGGCTGGGTCAGTGAAAGAAATTAAACAGGAATTTTTTTGAGAGTTTTGTAGAAGTCACAGATGACATGTGAAAGGCCAGCATATGACATAGAAAAGTTTAGAAAATCAGAAATGCATAATATATATAGTATTATATAATATCAATGTATTCTATCTTTTAATACCATAACAATTCAGACTTCTTCTCTGGTACAAAGGGAGGGCCAAAATTTTTACATGGATTTTCTAGATTGTGGGAGTGCTGCACTCCCTGTGATATGGAAGGGATAACTGCATAGAAAGGAACCCGATTTCTAGCCCAAAAAATATTACCCAAAGTACGAACAGTCCTTTCCATCCATGGCCAATATCTCTTGCATGGACATTGCTGCTCTGAGTGGCATAAAACCTCTCATGAAAAGGGGTCCCTAGTGTTTACCCAGCAAGCCTGTTCCTGTTGTTTTCCTGGGAGTAGTGACATTCATTATGGATTAAGAGAGATATGCATCATTAGAAGGAATACTGACATTGAAGAGAGATCATAGGACCACACTCACTGAAATGATCAAATTCTTCAAGTAAAACTCTCAACAAATAGAAATTTAGATGACAAAAATTAAAATAACCAGGTCAAATTTTTTAATGGATAAAATGTTAGAACAAAATATGCTTTTGTTAATCCATGTCATCAACAAATATGAGACAGTTTTAAAGGGAAAGAATGAGATAGCCAAAATGAGAAATGGGTTGTTTAAAATGGGATTGGTTGTCAGAATCCACTTTATATTGATTGTTAGCAAGTTATTGCAAAGAGGCTTAAAATATTGGTTAATTTTATACCAGAATCCACATTCCTTTTTTGACCTTGTATAGCAGCATAGTATTACAAAACTTAATGCTACTAAGCTTTGGTAAATGTTCAATACACATGCCAGTGTGAATATATCTGCTCTTTCAAACTATAAATTGCCCAACAATTGCCATTAGGAAGCATATATGTCTAAGTATATGTACCATTAAATTATAAGTATTCTAAACAGAAAAATACGTCCAAAAATTATAAAATACACATATCCAAATTAATGGCTTGATTAAAAAAAACAACTTATCAATAGTTTGACTGTCCATCTTATTCTCTAGCATTCAAGAAATGTCACCTTTTATTATGTAATTCCTGATGGTGATTTATCATAGATACATGCAATGCTATCCTAAGAATTTGTGTAATCCTATATACTCTGTGTGGACACCAGAGGGCCAAAGGAAAAGATCTTTTTTTTTAAAAAAAATATATTACATATATGCTGTGACTTCAAAGTATTGAAGCTGAATTCTGTGGGTTATTTGTTGAACTAGTCTGTTTTATAGTCATACTTCTTACATGGGTCTTTATTGAGGACTTATGTTGCCTTCTTTCTTAGGGCACAATGTAAATATCATCACAATGAAGATAAATGCTAAACTCCCAATCAAATAAGACATGTTTGTTCTTAAAAACTTTAAGGTCATACCTTCAGCTCAGTACCATATTTGATCAATTAGATTTTATAGAATTACATGCCCATCATTCACAAGAGATTAGCTCCAAAACAGACAGAATCAGTAAAACAGAATTTCAGCACTTTTGATGATCAGACAGCAGAAGACATCACCATTTAATATCAATTTACTTTTTCAAGTTTATTTTTGAATCACACAAAGAAGATTGTACTTTATTTTTAATAAGGAATGACAAATTAGAATACTTATGTCTTGTATGACTTTTATTTTCCTTTAAAATCATCTAGAAATACACAAGCTTGCAAATAGTCGTTGTTATATGTAGTTAAAGGAGTATTCATCATATAAGCTTTGCATCTGACATGTTGATAATGCATATAAAATGTAATTTCCACACTGGAATCCAATTCCATATAGTCACCTTTCAATTACCTACACTAACGCAAGGATGTCTAAATAACTTATGTTTGACTTTGGAATAGACAGTAATAGTTGATCCCAACTAACATAGCATTTTGGGCCATTTGACCATCCCAACCATCCTGTGAGATAGGTCATGGGAGAAGTAGTATTTCCTTTTAACAGATGAATAAAATGAGACAGAGAAAGGTTAGAATGATTTGCCTAAGGTCTCAAACCCAGGTCTTCTGACTCTACTACATTAGACTGTCTGCAGTTTATTGGAAATTAATTTCCCAATTCATATTTTTGCTTCAGCTAACTGAACATGACATTTCCCAGATTTTCAATTGAGGAAGCCTAAGGGAGTCCAGATGCTTGATGGGAAATAAATGGAAGCTTTTCTGGGATTTAAAATTTACCACAAAAATTCCAGTGAGTACAGATCTATATAGGTACTTGAGATTAGACTGAACATGGAAAACACCAATAGGTATGCTATAATTTCTTATTGTCTAGAGTTATGAAGTTTCATAATTTAAAAATCTGTTATTAAACAACCTATTTCTTTAATTGGGGAGTGATTATCTATGGTCTGGTTTTCTGGATGTGGGCATATTGAATTTCGTGATTTTTAACAGTTGTATATCATGTTGGTCAAGATTAAATATTTCTGAGGAAAGTTAATGCTATTACAAATATTAGAAATTTCTCTAGCCTACCCCAAAGTGCATTCATGTCAGAAACATTTATCAAGAACCTCTTATATGCAACACATTAAGCTAGATGAGTGAGACTTGGTTTTCCTCCAAGAGTTTACAACCTAGTTGGAATGCATGTGCGCGCACACACACACACACACACACACACACACGCACACACACGCACACATACTGTTTGTGTGTGTATACATACACATATACACATATTTGTGTAGATATGTACCCAACTGATATATTTATGTCTATCTGACTTTCCACCATACATGGGACAAAAAAATTGAGTAGGACCCATCACAAGTAGGATAATAGGGACAACAGTATCTATAAGGGTTTTGTGAGAATTGGAGGAAGGGTAAAACATCATTTTCATCCATTAAAATTGGAGACTATTGCTGGTGGTCGGTGACTTATAGGAGAGTCATAATTTTGGGCAGACATAAGTCAGGGGTTTGACTTGAAAATTCCTGGAGGTGAGATAGGCAGGAAAATGAGACCTTCTTATCTGCCACTAGGATTAGATGTCTTAAATATGTAGGTATTTTTTTCATAATTGTTTTAACCTGTGGCCTAAGTTGATGTTTCATTCCATTGGATTTCCTTACTCATTACATTTCATGAAGGCAGCATTCATTACATTTATTTCTATACAGCCTCCATGAAAGTATTAGGGACTGGCCCCAAAAGATTATACAGCATAGAAGTAAGGGATGGTGTATGTGAGGTCATACTATGAAAAGATGCTTAGCAGTAATGCCGTTCAAGAAATTTAATGTGAATTTTGTAAGCGTGTATTTGTTACTGTCTTGTATCCTAAAATTAGAAAGCAGGCAAGCAGTATGTAACTGTGTGCTATCACTTGAAGACTGGTATTGCCATTTGGGACTCCTAGGGATAATGTTTAGTGGTAACTCTCAGAATGTCATGTTCATATGAATACAATACAATCATTGCTTACCATTATCACAAGGAAAATGGACAAAGTTCATTCCACATATGCAAATGCTCCACAGGCATATTATATGATTGCTCCTTAAGGTAAAATAATTTCTTTATCCATTCTTCTCTGATTTATAAAGAGGAAGTAGTCACTGTGACATGACCAACCTGTACTGTCTATAAAAAGCTGATTGTCTTAAAGTAATACATGTTTGTTGAATTAAATTGGAACATGTGCTGTGATCTTTTTTAAAGCTTAGATTAGAAAGTGTGGTTTCCTATTGTTAATTCATTGCCTACCTCTTTTCGTGTTTATTGAAATGCATATTGTACAAAGATTGTTGCTGCCTTTGCTTTCCTTATTGAATGTGGGGTTGGGGAGGGGGAAAAGGAGATAATAAATAGCTATCTGGGACTTTAGATATATCATTCACATTGAACAATCATCTCATTCCTGTCTCAAGATTTCCGGAATGATTCATGGTAAATCCACATATTTCCAATTGAGACAGATTCACCAAGTGCAGAAAAAACTGGAGATAACACATGCTACTCATATCTTTCCATGTCTCAAAGTCAACAATGGAACTCATTGTCCTACCTGCTAAATCTGCCCCTTCTCCAAGCTTTTCCATTCCTTTTGATGGTACCATCACCTTTACAGTTAATCACATTTACCAAGTCGAAATTGTTGACTTTTTCCTCTCCCTCACCCAACCCTCCATTTCCAATTAGTTGCCAAGTCATGGCTTTTCTACCTAAATGTTTCT